AGCCAATCAGCGCCGGCGGGCGGTGGCGGCCCGCCCCTTAAAGGGCCAGGAGGGAGAGCCTCGAAGGAACGTGAGGTGATTCTTCCCGCCTCACAGATGGCAGCTGAGCCCTCTGAGGGGAAGGGTCCCCTCGGGTTCAGGCTATACCAGAGGAGGATGAGGGACCCCTTCCCTCTTGTCGCCGGGCACCCGCAGGGACGCGTCTGCGTCCCTGCGGGCGCCCGGCGACAAGAGGGAAGGGGCCAGTGCTTGGGGGCCTTCACGTCTCCATCTGTTTTGACAGTTGAAGTGGGCTCTTGCCATCTTGGTTTGGAGCCTACCGGTGTGGTGGATCAACCTACAGGTGACATGAGGGGGCTGGCACATGTGGGGTTACTTCAGCCATTGGAAGGTGGCAGCTGCCTCTCCTTTTTTTTCCCGAAGCTGGTGATGACTTTTTTGTTCTTAAGCAAAAGTCGAGGCTTTCTAGTGGTAGCCTGGTGCTGGCAGGTGAAGTGTTGTGATCATTAGTGGTTTCCTTAGTGGGGTATTAATGAGTCAGTGCTTTGAGTAATAGAAGTATCTGGGGGCACATGATAGTGCATCACTGCTAATAAAAGAAATTAAAATTAAAAGTAAAAGCCTGCTGAGGTGATGATGGTGGTTCAGTAGAGCTAATGAGTCGTTTCATCTTCCAGGCTCGCTCTCAACCTTGGGCTTTCTGCTCCGCAGAAGGGCAGCTGATGGCAGTGCTGGGTCTCCTGCTTAGTCCTGAGTCAGCTGGCAATGTATTAACCTCATTCATAATTACACAGCTACAGCAAATTGCTCATTTCCTTTGCAAAGGACACATGCCTTTTATAAATCGAAACTAATGCACCCGCTGCTGAGGATGCAGCTGATGACAGCATCATCTGTCTCTCCCTTTTGGAAGCTTTTGTGTATGTGACCGGAACCTGTCAAAGAGTGTGTTTTAGGGGACAGACACCGCAAAGGTGATGCTGCAACTCGTGTTGCCATCGCGGCTGTCCAGCAAAGCTACTGTCTCGTGCAGGGAGCTGTGGCCTTTCACACTGGGAGTTTGGTTGGCTCCCAGCTTTAGGTGTGTGTCTGTAACTGTATACTTCTACTCAGAGGAAAAAAAAAAATCCCTTTTCTGATATTTTTAATGTACCCTGGGGACCAAAAGCCTGTAGGAAGAATTAATCCACTTTCCAATCCGTATCCCTCCCTCGCTCTAACGGGTAGCTCAGATCTGACCAAACAAACCTCTGTACCAACAGGGAGCTGGATTACGGCCCTGCGCAGGTGAACGGATCAGCTGATGGAAATTCTTCTGCAGGCTTGAGGCTTTCCTGGCCAGCTGCTTTCCCGTGAAGCGTCTGCGAGCTGATCAGATGCCGCGACAGGTTCCTTCAGCAGCGGGAAGCTGTTGGGGGTAACCGGTGCTGGCGTGGTAGCAAGTAGGGACTTTCTGCTTTCCCTCGGATATTTCTGTTCGTAACCGGAAAGGCGTCTTGCGCACCTCATCCCCGTTTTTACTTTCTGTCCCTGCCACCGGCAGCCCCCCTCACCTCCGTGCAGCCCCCTTCCCCGCCGCGCACCCCCCGCCCCGGCATTGCCTGCCGTCCCGCCGCCCGGGGTGGACGCCGGCTGGCC